TGCACAGTAACCATACTAATTGCACAGCAAAAATAATATATCTACAGTAAAAATAATAATGCACAATAAAATAATAATGCACAATAAAATAATAAGTGCATATTGAAAATAATAAATGCACAGTAGAATAATAAATGCACAATATAAATAATAAATGCCCAGTAAAATGATAAATCCACATTATAAATAATAAATGCACAGTAAAAATACTAAATGCACAGTAAAGACAATGAATGAAGTTTTGCCAACAGATAAAGTTTATAATTTTTTTTTAACATACGAGTAAATTGTAACATTTTCAATAAATATTTTTGTACTTTTATAAAATGCATAAACATATAAAACAATAAATAAAAAACCGTTTTTATTTAAGAAAAAAAATATTAGTATGGTGATCTCAAAAATTTAAACAATTAATTAAAATAAAAAATATTTTGGCATCGCTCCTTTACAACCTTTAAACATTTATTAATTTATTTCCAAAAATGGTTAAACATTTTTTAACAAAAAAGTGTGATGTTTACAAAACAAAATTTGGCACAGCAACAATTCTTGTAACAAGCTCGTTGTTTAAAAAAAAATGTGGTAGGTTTCCATTAAAAAAAATTGTTACTATGCTTATCTCGTAAGTATAAACATTTACTTAATATTCAATTGTTTTTAAATAGCATTTTAATAGCCATTGCACACCTATAATTTATTTTTGCCAAAAAATTTATAATTTCGCCAGAATTAAATCGTTTTCAGACTTTTGGACCACTCTGTATTATAGTGATGATTTTTAATTTTTTATTGTGCAAAAATTAACTAAATACTGATCACATCATTTTATACTGATCAAAATTAAATTGTTTACTGATCGCTGTATTACTACCCAAAATCAAATGGAATTTGCTAGATGAAAAGGAAAACAACGAAGAATAGGCGCGTTTTGGGATTAACGATAAAGCTGCAATTAATGTTAAGAGACTTTGAAGGGATTTTGTAGCTAAATTGGGACAAATTTTACTACCTAGTGACCAAAAAGAAGCAGTTTTTGTGATATTTCAGGAGACGCTAAGTAAAGCTTGGGATTTGAAAGAGACCATGATAACACTCCCTTTATCAAAGGAGAGGAAAATTATGGGAAAAAAAAACAAAAATATCTAATTTATATTTTCCAACAGACGCAGTTTTTGTTAATACTTTTTTTAGTTAGTTTTTGTCAATTTTGTAAAGTTTCTTTAAAGAAAAAATTTTTTTGTCAATAAATTTTGTAATAAAAATTATTACCACTGTGTAGTAAATCATTTTCAAAAATTACGGAAATCACGAGTAAATTCTTGACGAAGTCACAGAAAATCAGAAAGTCCGAGATCTCGTGTGTAAAATTGGTTCAATTTTAATTTAAAAAAACATACTTGAGACGCAATCTKTGTAATCGACGAGAAAACATTTTGAAGTTTGGGTAAAAATATCTTATCAATAAATAAAGAAGATAAAACCGGCGATAAACTAACGTGTGTTTAGGGTGATGACAACAAAATTGGCATCATTGAAAAGTGGCGAAAACGGTGGAATGATTTATGCAGTGCACACAAAATTTTCCAACAATTGATGCTTAAAATAAACTACAAATTTAAAAGTTTTAAAAATAGTGTTAGAGATAAATGTTTTATCTTGCAACTGCAAGACCTGCATCTCATTACAAGAGACTTTTATCGATTTGCTGATTATACGCATTTCCAGTTTCCACGTAAAAAAAGCACTTCGGGGAGCTATGGAGTATCAGTCAATGCTCACGTTTGAGGTTTATATCTGTTCAAACGTCCATGTTTTTCAGTTTCTCCTAAATTAATAGTAGATTGTTAATTAATGAAGTATTAATAATGTAAGAATTTTTTACACCAATTTTTTTGTTATTAATTAAAATTTTCGATTTGAAATGTGCTAAATATTGTGTTGCCTACATCAAAGTCAGTAATCTTGAGTAATAACGAGATAAGTTTATTAATTTCTAACTACGCTTAGGATCATAGCAACGACCTTGTTTAACTTAGCATTAATGTCATTAAACTCAATAATAATTATGTAACTTAGACAACAGACAATAAATAAACATTTTTTTAATTATTAATTAACTCGCAACGTCAGCATTTGACATTACCTCTGCAGGAAAAGTAATGTTTTCCATGTTCTTGATATTTTACCTTACATGGCATTTTTCTGTAGAGTAGAAAATATTTTATAATAATTATCTACAATAATATTTTCAATTACTCAACAAATCAAGTGAAATACAGGATGAATGTAAAGTATGGAACCAAGCGGTGTTTTTTTAAAAATCATTTGCCTTCAAAATATAACAAATTAATATAAATTAAAGTAGTATAAAAAATGTCATCGTATTTTGTGAATGAGAAGTTTTGTTTTTGAGCTATGCGATTTTTTTTGGCAAAAATTGCAATTTATGTAAAAAAAATTTTGAAAAAATTAAATATAAGTTCAATAATTTTAATCCTTATATTATAACCTTTATGTAAAAAATTATTTTATAGTGTGTTGCCATTTTAATAAATAAAAAATTTTGTAGAACTCAACAAAAAAAAAATTGAAAACATTTTATTCTTGATAAAACATCACATTTTTTACTATAAAAAGTATGGAAGCAAGTTTTTCTAAAAAATAAATAGTTTGGTTCCATACTTTTTATTCACCTGGTATACGTTTCATGTTTTTTGGAACAATTGTTTATTAGAGGTACAGACATCAAAAAATTACAACTAGAGATTGAAACATAAACTTTTTTAAAAATAAGTAATAAGACNAATGAATATAAAGTTAATAATTTTTATCCTTAGATTATAACCTTCATGTAAAAAATGGTTTTATAGTGTTCAGTTTCTTCTAAATTAATAGTAGATTGTTTTACAAGTAGAACATGCTATTTTTTGTGTATTAATGAAGAAAAATGTAAGAATTTTTTACACCATTTTTTTTTCTATTAAATAAAGTTTTCGATTTGAAATGTGCTAAATATTGTGTTGCCTACACCTAAGTCAGTAATCTTGAGTAATAATGAGATAAGTTGATAAGTTTATTAATTTCTAACTACGCTCATGATCATAGCAACGACCTTGTTTAACTTAGCATTAATGTCATTAAACTCAATAATAATTATGCAACTTAGACAACATACAATAAATAAACTTTTTTTTTAATTATTAATTAACTAGCAACGTCAGTATTTGACAAATCCTACCTCTACAGGAAAAGTAATGTTTTCCATGTTCTTGATATTTTACCTTACATGGCATTTTTCTGTAGAGTAGAAAATATTTAATAATAATTATCTACAATAATATTTTCAATTACCCAACAAAATAAGTGAAATACAGGATGAATATAAAGTATGGAACCAAGCGGTGTTTTTTTTTAAATATAATAAAACATAATAAATTAATATAAATTAAAGTAGTATAAAAACTGTAATCATATTTTGAGAACGAGAAGTTTTGTTTTTGAGTTAAACGATTTTTTTTTGTCAAAAATTGCAATTTATGTAAAAAAAATAAAAAAATGAAATATAAAGTCAATATGAGTAATGTAAAAAATGGTTTTGTATTGTTAAGTTTCTTCTAAATTAATAGTAGATTGTTTTACAAGTAGAACATGTGTATTAATGAAGAAAAATGTAAGAATTTTTTACACCAATTTTTTGCTATTAATCAAAGTTTTCGATTTGAAAAGTGCTAAATATTGTGTTACCTAGTAATCTTGAGTAATAATAAGATAAGTTGATAAGTTTATTAATTTCTAACTACGCTTAGGATCAAAGCAACGACATTGTTTAACTTAGCATTAATGTCATTAAACTCAATAATTTTTTTTTTAATTTTTAATTAACTAGCAATGTCAGCATTTGATAAATCCTACCTCTGCAGGAAAAATAATGTTTTACTATTTATTTTAAGCTTTAGAAAATCTCTAGGAAAACATGACAATATAAAAAAAAGATGAAAAATACTGATTACAAGTACTTTAATAATACTTGTTTTTGTGACGATTATGTAGAAAAACTTCCTAAGTATTAATAAATAATAAATCGGTGAATTTTTCCATAGAAGCATAAACGAATTTGGAAGGGAGTTCAAATATTGGAAAAACAATAAACATCACATATTCAGAAATCACTTTATTCCCTTTGCAATCCCAAAGCAAATTGTAAGCTACTATAAAAATCTGATTTTTTTTATAAAAATACCTTTTTCTTTGAGTTTTGTAAAATTTGTTTATTTTTTTCAAATCGGAATTTACTACGAATTTATTTTGACAAAATCTAGGTACAATTCGAAAATTACGACCATTTAAATAAGTAATTTTTATAACCAAAACTTTTGTCGTTATAATATATGCAGAACACAAATCAAAAATAAATTTGAAAATTTTTTTTTTTCAGAAAATTAATTACTTAATTTTTAAAGAGTCTTTTGTCATTTCAATGTAAAAAATAAAACAAGAAATGTTGTGTAAGTCTTTATTAGGCCTAAATGTGTCAATTTATAAATTTTGGAGTTCCTTTTTACTTCGGAAATGGACAATCCCAGCCCCATATGCATCTCCCATCACATTAATGGCCGTCCGAAACCGATCTCTGTAACAAAGTAATTAATTAGAAACATTTTCAGTTAATTATTATACACGACGATAAAATTAAATTTTATTTTTGAGAGCAATTTATCGTCGTGTACAATATAAACAGATATACAACAATGGATGTATTTTTTATCATCTAGACGATAAAATTTCATTTTAACACGAAGAAAATAGTAAATAAAACTCAGTTTTAACATAGAATATTAAATAAAATATTTTGATTTTGAAATAAACTTACAAAAGCCAGTCAACCGCCAGTATCAAAGACACATCTTCTGCAGGAAGTCCAACAGTGTCCAGGACCATAACAAGGGTAACAAGTCCTGCTTGTGGAATACCAGCAGCCCCTATACTGGCAGCAGTGGCAGTTATACTGATAGCTATGTAACTACCAATTGATAAATCTACCCCTCGCACTTGTGCAATAAAAATTGCAGCGATGGCTTCATAAAGTGCAGTCCCATCCATATTTATGGCTGCACCAATGGGCAATGCAAACCGGGCAACTCGAGGATCAATTCCATTCTTCTCTTCGAGACATTGAATCGTTATCGGAAGAGTAGCAGAACTGAAAAGTACAATTAGCAATTTTTTCAAGCAATATATGTCAAAATTGAGCAGAAATATTTTTTGAAAATTTAACATTTTTTAATTTATAATCCGATACACGATAAGAGTTCTCAAATCTTTTGCTTAATTCCCTGATACTAGAGATTATAGAGACTTTATTTTGCACAATTTTAAAATGCAAAAATGCTTGAATAGGTCAATTTGCTTTAAAAAAAAAACACAACTTTCGACTTGATTTAAAATTTTACACTTTTTGTTTTTTGAGTAATAAAGTTTTTAAGGAAACCCCTAATTTTTACCCAATTCGATAGGTCTTTTAATTGTCAAAATAACAACACCAAAATACTAAATTTTAGATAAAGTTTTCAAAAAAAAATCACCAAAGAAAGTGAAATAATATCAACAAAAAACAAACATTCAAATTTAATCAAGTTAAGAATGTTGTATTTTTTAATAAGAAAATTAACCTGTCCGGGCATTTTTGTAAAATTTTCAATTTTGCCACTCACTGTAAAAAACTACAGATGAAGCAATAGCTATACAGGGTACAGGCTTTAAATGGTAAAATTAAAAAAATAGGATATTGATAGATACCTACTAATCTAGTCCATCGCCTAAAATTATTTTCAACTATACAGCGTGTCTCAAAAATAAGTTAGAATACAAACTTGTGTTTTTTTAAATGAAACACCATATGTTTCTTAGAGTTTTTGGATGTAGATTTTTATGATAGTGTTTTTAAAAAAAAACTTTTAATGGTCGATTTTGCTTAGTTTTAACAATAAAACGGTTATTTGACGAAACATGCACTTTTTAAAAATTTATTACACAAAAACTAAGACATCTAGAAATATTTTTTTACTGCATCAAAGAAGAAGGTATAAGCTACAAGGATGTAACATTTTTTAGTGTGTTGCATTTGCAAAGATAAAATATGAAGGCGTTTGTTAAAAGTTCAATAACTTCAAAAATTTTAATGGAACACCATATTTATTGTTTTTGCATTTAAAAGATTATTAAATTGTCTTTATAAAATTATTTACTTTTAGGTGATATTTAACGTTAAACATTAAAAAAATATATATTATTGTTTTAGTAGCCAAAAAGTGAACAGTTGCACAAGAGATGGAAGAAATATCACTTAATAATCACATTTGTGTTAAACTGAATCCATTATTCATTATTTTTACAAGAAAATAATTCGAATTTCAGTATTTATAATATTGAATATTGAATGTTAAATAACTTTTCATTTATCAATTCTAGACATTAAAAGTTTATTTTTTTAGATAGACAATTTATCAATCTATTAGATGCAAAAATAAAAAATAGAGTGTCCCATTTATATCTTTTTANTTTTTTTAGATAGACAATTTATCAATCTATTAGATGCAAAAATAAAAAATAGGGTGTCCCATTTATATCCTTTAAGTTATTTAACTTTTAATAAAGTTCTTAATTTATTAATCTTTACAAATACAAAACACTAAAAAGTTACTACAACTTTAAATTCTGTACTTTCGTCTTTGCAGAAGTAAGAAAAAATTTGTTCTAACTGTCTTAGTTTTTGTGTAATAAATTTTTAAAAAGTGTATATTTTCGTCAAAAAAAGTCTTATTTCTAAAGTTAAGCGAAATCGACTAAAAAAACATTGTTTTAAAAGGCTACATCCAAAAATGCAAAAAAACATACGGTGTTTCATTTAGAAAAACAGTTTTTGTCGTAACTTATTTTGTTTCGTAACTTATTTTTGGGACATGCTGTATGATTGAAAATAGTTTTAGGTAATGCACAAGAATTGTATCTATCAATGTCCTATACATTTTTTTAAATTTTATAGCGTAAAGGTACTAATCCACTTTTTTAACTAGATGGGACACCCTGTATAAAGCTCTCTATTGTACTTATTAAAATTTGCACCGATAGAGAATTGAATATTTTAATAATTATTATTTCTGAAACGATTACGTAAACTGAACAAATAAATCCACCTGGCTATAAAAGACAATGTAACTTGTCTCAAACGTAAACAGATTAATAAAACCGGCTTTTCTCAGAAACCTGCAGAAACCCATTATGGGAAGAGACAAAAATAAACACGTAATAATTAATAAATAAAATGCGGTTTTGCTGATTTTTGAAACAATTTATTTGTGGCATTTTTCATATGCAGAAATCATTTTTTGTAATTATCAATTACACACAAATTTATTTATTTATTTTTGAAACCTTTAAATTGTGTATTATGAATATGATTAATGTAATTTATTAAAAACAAGCCGATTTTTTATTTAAACGTAAATTAATATCCAGTTGTTCAACATTGTATTATCGTTGTCGATACTAATTTCGGATTTTATTACATTCTTTTGCAACTATGATTGTTTTATTCTGCTTTAATCTTTTAATTCCATGAGTAAACCTTTGGGATTTTAAAGATATCGACAATAAATGAGAAAATCAAATAAAAGTCTTTATTTTAAGTTATTTTTTTAAGTTCTGCTTGGCATGGAAATCTAAAAAATGGCTACTTTTGTCCATAGTGACCAAAACAAATTTCATTATTATATTTATTATGTTTTTAAATTTGTGCAGTTCAAATTTTAATCATTCACTCTGTACATTAAATCTCTAATCTAAATTGAAATTGAAAGTGACATATGAAATTTCACCTAAACTTAAGGTAATAAAATTCGTTTACAAGTTTGAGTACAGTTTTCGAATTTTTTGGAACAGCCCGTTATACCCACTTACAGGGTGAATAAAAAGTATGGAACCAAGCGGTTTTTTTTAATTTGCCTTCAAAAAATAATTTTTAATGAAAATGTGAACTTGTTTTTAAAATGAAATTTTGAGTTGTGCAATTTTTTTTGTCAAATTGGCAACTTATACAGACCGTATTATAAAAAACGCCCCAAGCCATAACTCCATTATTTTTACAGATATGACAATACTTCTTGGAACAAAATTAAACAGTTTCTTGTCATTTATTGTTTGACATGGATTATCAATTAATGCTACTTCCTGTTTCACCGGAAGTGACATTAATTTCAGTTTTTTAAGTGTAACACCCTGTATATTTTATTATTTTTGGATTCTTCATTAAATTGTCTTTCAACAAGCTCACTTACTCATCACTAATTTTTGATTTTAGGCAATTTAAAAATTAAATTCAATAAAGTAGTCTACGGAAAAAATAGAACATTTTTATTCATTTTATCTAAGACCAGCAAACGATTGATAACAGAAAACTGTTTTTTTTTATAATACAGCCAGTAATTTTTTTTTAACAATAATTGAATAAAATGTATTTAGTTGTAATTCTTAGATCATAGCCTTTATAAAAAAAAGGTTTTTTATGGGTTGCCATTGAAAAAATATCACCCGGTATGTATTTGTTTAGAATTTTTAAACCAATATTTCTATTTATCGCAATTACGAGGTGTTAAATAATATTGACTACTTTATAACTTAAATTGACAAGGTAAGCAAGGTTGACATGAAAAAAACCTCGAAAAAGACAAAATGTTTTAGAAAAAATAAATATTTGATATCACATACCTTGACGCGGTTCCAAACGCCGTTGCTACGGCTTGGCTCATATTAACCAGATATGTAATCGGCGATTTCCTCGTAAGAACAAAATAAATCAAAGGTAAAACTACAAATCCTTGAATAAGAAGGCCTGCCATTACTGTTGCAAAATACAATCCTAGCTGACTCAACACCATTGCCATATCCTCCATTTCCATTATTTTAGCTGTCACCAAAAATAAAATTCCGACAGGTGACAGTCTTATAATCCACGTTGTGATTCTCATAGAAAGTGCCATTAAATTATGGAAAAAATTTGCTAAAGTTTTTGTCTCTTCTCCGAGTTGAGCGAGAGCAATACCGACGACTATTGCAATGACAACCAAACCCAAAATGTTTGTTCCGTTTACAAGTTCTTCTTCTATGTCCCATTTGTATAAATCTAAATTTTGGTTTTGTTAGTAATTTATGTTTGATTGCAAATTTGTTAAATACCTGTTTCATTGGGAGTTTTCATGGGAGGTACCAAATTGGTTCGGTGCTAAAAACGATAATTTGTATTAATTACAACAAATTAATGAATAATTAAAGTATGTTAATTTACCTGCTGTGTACATGCTTGAATCACGTTGGGCGGAAACATGTTCCTAAAAGAAAGACGCAAACACATAATTAATAATTTCAAAACTATTTTTAAATTTGAATATATTGGATATGAAATAAATACATTTTTGTAACTTGAAAAATACAGAAAGACATTTTTTTCTTCTCTCAAAAACTCTTGTCTGAAGTTATATTTAAATAAAAAATTGTATGTAGCAGGAAAATTTTTTTTTTCTTCCCTTGAATGTTTTATTTCCCTCGGCTTCTCGGCTCTGTCGGAAAAAAAACAACTTTCTTTACTTGTTTTACAAATTATTGTTATGTTCCAAGAAAAAAATATATTTGTCTAAAACTGTCCTCAAAATTTTGTTTCATTTGTCTTTATCACATAATTTATAATTTCATTCATAATATAAGTAGTTATTATTTGTCACATTTTACAGAAAAACATCTTTTAATAAAGTACCTGCTAGGTATACTCCTATAAATAACAACTTTGTTATTTATTTAATCAAAAAATTATTTAGATAAATATGATTTTCATTTGATTGTAGCATTAGAATACCCTGGATTTGCTTTTTTTTGTAAATCGACATAAAAACCATAAAACAATTAAATGTTTTCATTTTTAAAAATTTATTTTGTTTTAAAAAGTGTTTATATATATTTTTAAAAATCAATACATACAGCGTGCATCAGAAATGGATGAGCGGCTATGACACGTTATCAATTTTGGGAAAAAATTAAGCAGAACAGAAGCTTAAAAAATTGTTAAAAAAATTAAGTAGACACTAATTTGCTTGATTACAATTAAAAGTTGCAAAAATTTAAGAATTCGATAAAATGCCTTAGACAAAAGTTTTTGTAGACACTTATTTCTGACACTTATTGAATACAGGGTGTCAGAACTCGCCCCAAAAAAAATTCAAGTAATATAAGATACCAGGAACACGAAAAAAATGTTTAAAAAATATTAACTGTAAAAAAATTTATCATTTAATTTTTGACATTTGACATTTCTTATGTCTGTTTAATGATGCTGATGATCTTGTATATGTTTTTTTATAATTGTTTAGTAAAAGTACAAAAATTAATAAACGTCACACATAACATGAAACAAAGTTACAACAAAAATAACTCTTATAACTACAAATTTTTATAGATAGAATTTAAGAAACATTTTTTTCCATGTTCTTGATATTTTCCTTACATGGCAATTTTCTATAGAGTAGAAAATATTTAATAATAATTATCTACAATATTACCCAACAAAATAAGTGAAATACAGGATGAATGTAAAGTATGGAACCAGGAGGTGTTTTTTTTTTTAAATCATGAAAATATAATAATTATTATGAATTAAAGTAGTATAAAAAATGTAATCGTGTCTTGAGAACGAAAAAGTTTTGTTTTTGAGTTATGCGATTTTTTGTCAAAAGTGCAATTTATGTAAAAAAAAAAATGAAAAAACGAAATATAAAGTCAATAATTTTAATCCTTATATTATAACCTTTATGTAAAAATTTATTTTATAGTGTGTTGCCATTTTAATAAATAAAAAATTTTGTAGAACTCAACAAAAAAAAAATTGAAAACATTTTATTCTTGATAAAACATCACATTTTTTACTATAAAAAGTATGGAAGCAAGTTTTTCTAAAAAATAAATAGTTTGGTTCCATACTTTTTATTCACCTGGTATACGTTTCATGTTTTTTGGAACAATTGTTTATTAGAGGTACAGACATCAAAAAATTACAACTAGAGATTGAAACATAAACTTTTTTAAAAATAAGTAATAAGACTGATAAAAAATCTCAAAATATAAAACCATTTAGGCGTAATTTTTTCCCTTTTTGGTGAATATTTAAACAATTTTTGGTAGTAACTATTTAAAAGTAGATTTTTTGTTGCGATTTTTTTACAAAAATTTCTATTGAAATTAAGTCTCAATAAATAATTCATTAGTTTTATCATCTAGTTTGAAAGGCAATTTAGAAAAACTTCCACAATAAATTAATTAATTTTTATTGTAGCTTTTTACCTGTGCGGTATAAAATGTTATAAAACGCTCTGTACAATTGTTTTCCTCAATCTAAATTATTTTATCTGTCGTTTTATTGATGTTTACCGCTTTTTTATTAACAATTGTATAGTTATTATTTTCAAGTCAATACTTTAAGTTAAGTAAATATATCTTTGTTAATTTACATTAAACGTAAAAAATATCTACCAAATAAACTGTAATGGAAAGTTTAAAAAACACAAAAGAATGTTTTCCAAATGTAATCACGAAACTCGTAAAGATAAATGCAAATAAAACGTAAATTCTGAAGTACACTGGCCAACTAAAATTTTGCGATTTTTCACATTGTTATTCTTTGTCGGATTTCGACGAAAAAACTTTGTAGATCACTTTGTCTTCTAAATGTGATACTCAAAAGACGAAGACACTGTTTTTTACTTATTTTTACACTGAGCTGTGGTGTGCGACAGAGACAAACTTAAGTTTTTACTGATTTCAGATTATTGCCCATTTTTTTCTGAATTATGTACCACATTTTGCATAATATTAATTCTTGAGACAAAAGAGATATAAACCAATTTCAATGAATGTTCAAATTAAGTAGGCCAAATGTGCCAAAACGTCAAAATAGGCACATGGAAGCTTCCAATAATTAACAGTTTTACCTGCTTTAATCCTTTGAAGTTCCAAGTTTTTCAGATTTTTTGTGTTCAAAAACGTAATTGTGCTCTTTTGGTGACATAAGCAATAATTTTCGTGTAACTACCTTTTCATGTAGCCTACTTTCTGAACAATTATTTAGTAACATTAGAAAAGCAACTTCTGTTGCAATGCTTTGTATCTGAAGCCGAAAAAAAATTCGTCGAAATCCGACAAAGAATAACAAAAATATTTCCATAAAATTCAAGCAAATATAGACGGATTTTGGACCAGACAAGACCCAAAAATTTAAACAACTCGAAAAATCTAAACTATTTCTTCAAAATTTTCATAATGCAATTCGTTGGGTACAAAAAAATGTTTTTTTAAACCACAATGACTGTTTTAATTATTTAAAAGATGACTGTTTGAGTTGGAATTACTGAATTTTATTTTTAAATGGTAGGCATACCAGAAAATACCGACGAAATAAGAAAACAAGGCAATTTAAATTTTTTAACTCTTTGCCAAAAATGTCAATAATTCACAAACACCCCTGGACTTACTTTACAAGATCGAGGAGAGTATCAACCGTGGTCACATTTCTTTGAACACTACTCGTGTTAATCTCACTATTGCTGCCACCCCCGTGATTCGATCCAGGTTGTATGGAAGCCACCAAGACAATCCCCAAAACCACAGCCAAAAACGTCGTTGTCAAATAATAAGCTATAGCTCTGGCAGCAATCCTCCCCGAAAGGGACAAATCCAGACTAGCAATAGCAGACACAAGCGACGAAACAATAAGTGGAATAATCAACGATTTGAGCATTCGGAGAAAAACATCCCCTATGTAGCTCACATACATCACTTCCCGTTTCGAGAACGACCCCACAGTCTCTTTCAAAACAACCCCCACGATTATACCACATACAACACCGCCAACTGTGGCCAAAGTCAAAAAGTTTGTCTTTAAACACAAAAGCCATTTGTTGGTCTCTTGTTTTTCTTCTTCTTCTTCATTTTGGACTACTTCCACTTTGGCTTCGCCGTTTTCGGGGGTTTTGGGGATTTCGGACATGGTGCACGGTTTGGAGGTAAAAGTTAACTGGAGCACAGGCAGGAATGTCGTCCACAAAAGGTGGCGGGATTAGCGAGATTAAACACAATATCACTTATCTTGTAATTATTCTTTTAATGACGATTTACGAAACACTAGATTTGTTGAGTGAAAAGTGACGAAGTTAAATTGTTTTTCACTTCACTTTTACCGCATCAAAAACCTCACTAGCTTGCAATCAGGAAAATGGTTAGTTTGAGGTAATTATTCGTTTCACTGGCGGTTTTACAATTATTGGGACTTAAGAGGGGGCCATTGAGTACCAGTTCATACTTGATCAGTTTGGTTTCAGAATGGCTCGAAAGGAATTTCTTTTTTAGACTAAATCTTAATAGTAACTTATCATAACTGAAATAAAAATACCTGGAAATTGAAGGTCATTTATTTGCAATTGCAAAGGCCAACAATTAAAATAAAATTTGCAACAAAACTTTTGTGTTTGTGCTCACTTTCCTGACTAAAAGAAAGGCGATTCTAATTAATTCGAGACTAAAACGGGTACAGAAAAAGTGTAATAATTAATCAGGCGAATTAACATTTTGATCACATTCTACAAGGTGTTGTCTTTGGAATACCATTACTGTTGGTCTCAATATTATTAATATTTTCTTGAAACTTAGCTACGTTTTTCGTGATTTTTACATGAAAAATTGCAAAAAAAAATATTTTAAAAACGGTACTAGAAAACTAAGATGATTAAGTGAATTACCACTTTTCCATTCTTTACATTTAGAAAACCATATTTTAAGTGTTTTTACGACTTAAGGTAAATTGACTATTTTTACGATTTTACTACCGCTCACCTTCAAAAACTCAAAAAATTCGCAATTTTTTAAAATTGACCCAATAACGTTTTATGCATTTTTTTGAGTTTTTAAGACCTCTTGAAATGTAAAAAATGTTATATAGAACAATTTTAAAGTTGAATTTTTTTTTTGATTTTTGGCGAGATTTTGGTCGATTTTTGGCACCCAGAGCAGTCTAATGGCAATAACTTCCATTTTTAATTTTTTTCATAAAAAATTAATATTTCAAGAAGTATGAGTCCTAGGTCAAAACGGTATGTACAGGTGTATTCTGCGGTTAATTTTACATATAGTACTAGTTTTTCATAAGAATCAAAAAATTTTGATTTTTTTTGTCGATTTTTAGCACCCGGAGCGTTCTATTGCGAATAACTTATATTTGGTACCGTTAGAAAGCAAATTGAATTTTCTATCATATCCAAAAAAGATCAGTGCTCTACGATAAATAGTTATCGGAAAAATTATAAATTAAAAGTTTTAACAAAATAAATTTATCTATGTGTATATATTTTTTTTATTTTACCCCTAATAAAAAATATTTTAGGAGTTTTTATTTTATGAAATTCTAGTTTTTTAACTTAATAATGTGTTTGGTTACATATACTATTTTCGTAACATCAATTCACGCGAATAATGCTCACACGTGATTGAAGGAGTTACGATGCAACCTTACTTTATAAATCATGGTTCAAAACACATTTTTATCACTTTTCAGATTAGTCTAAAGATTATAAGACAACTTATTTGATGAAATTTGAAGGCTTTTTAATAATAACACAATAATAAAATAAACTTTATTATAATTTCAAAGTAATAAATAAAAAAATAATAAATACACGATAACCTTGCGTCGACAGCACTACGAAAGCCCAAGCTTATGTTCCGTTCGCAGATGAGGAATCAAATTGTTCTTCCTTTTGGTTTTAAAAACGCAATGGTCGCAGTAAAACCATCTATTCTTATGTGCTGAGTTTGTTTTGAACGATTTTTGAGACTCAGTGGAATGCAATGAACGGCAATGTCTGAGTAAACTGCTTTTTTGTTTCGTTTTATAATCACAAGTGTCACATTGCAATAACGAAACATTGCTATGTTGATACCTTCGGTGCTTAATGAGACTGTACTTATGAATGGTTCTGAAATCGCATTTCTCGCATTCGAACATTTTCGAATTTTCACTGTGTTTAAGAATGACATGTGGTTGCAAGTGATGCTTGTATTTTGTCTTGTAATCGCAATGATCGCATTCGAACATTTTTGGATTTTCAGTATGTTTCCCAGTGATATGTGTTTGTAATGCATGCTTGTACTTTGTCCTGAAATCGCAGTGGTCGCATACGAAAACTGAATTTTCAGTATGTGTAACAATGACATGTCTTTGCAAGTAGTGCTTGTTTTTTGTCTTAAAATCGCATATCTTGCATTCAAACATTTTTGGATTTTCAGTGTGTTTACCAATGACGTGTGTTTGTAAGTGGTACTTGTATTTTGACTTGAAATCGCATTGGTCACATTCGAATATTTTCGGATTTTCAGTGTGTTTAACACTGACATGTTTTCGTAATACCTTCTTGTTTTTTGTTTTGAAATTGCATTGGTCGCATTCGAGCATTTTTATATCTTCAGTGTGTTTAACAATGACATGCGTTTGTAACACTTGCTTGTATTTTGTTTTGTAATCACATTGGTCACATTCGAAGAATTTTGGATTTTCAGTGTGTTTACTAATTACATGTTTTTGTAAGTTGTATTTGTATTTTGTTTTGAAGTCGCATTGGTTGCACTGGTGCCTTTCAGGGCCATGTTTAATAATCACGTGATTGTCCAACATGCTTTTAAAAGCCGTCTTAAACTGGCATTGGTCACATTGAAAGTACCCAATATTACACATCAACGAGTGCTTTGCCACTATATGTTTTCTCAATGCAGTTGTAAATTTACATTTGTAATCACAATGATCACAACTCCACAACTGGTCATGTGACTTCGAATGTACAGCCAATAAATTGTCTTGTCTCCTTTTCGACGTGTAATCACAAAGTTTGTGTCTCAAAAACAAAAATTCCGAAAACGACTTGTAATCACATTTTGGACACTTGTAGGGCTTGTAGATTGTGGATTTGACATGTTGTGATGTGTGTCCTTGAGCGATGTGATATTTCAATTGTGACAACAATTGTGTCTCAAATGTATTACATTTGTGACACTTGTAAGACTCAAGGTCAACACTTGAGCAATTAAATAATCTTTTTCCGCTGTCTGTGTGAATTGTCACGTGACTTCTCATCGTGGATAAGAGTGTTGTCTTGAATGGACATTTCTCACATTTGAGATAGAGTTCCATTCCGGGAAATCTAAAAAAAGTAAGATTAATTTAAAAAAAATACAACTATAAATAAACATTGTTTCTAACATTAAATATCAATCACACTGTAAATAAATAAAATCAAAATATTCCCTAAAAAACAAATATGAATCAAACAAGAGAATAAACTACTAAATATTTTAAACCCGATAATGTAGGAACGTCAATTCAATCAAGTCCCGTTTATTTTAAGAGTAAAATCGGTATTTCATTTATTTTATTCCCGAGGGAATACCGTAACAGATTATTAATCAAAAACGAGAGAATAAAGCGTCGCTTTATTCAATGTTGAGAGGAAAAGAAATAATAGCAAATTTGGCAAATAAAAATTTTAAATAACATCAATTCTTTTCAACGTAAAATTGAAGAGCTTTTAACCTACAAGCAGTTAGTAGAACATTAAAACAAATTTCTAAATATGTCCTTTATTTATACTTGATTTCCGTCGTTGGTCAAAAAAGTTTTGTAACGTCTTTAAAAGTAGGTAATGAAATTATGGCTTGGGGCGTTTTTTTTAATCCACCATGTGTATTATCATTAAAAAATTTGCATCTGTAGGTACCTACAGATTTGTCAACAAGAAATTACCACCTAGGATTTGAACTTTTAGGAAAATTATGTTTTTCATGTTGTTTGTAACTAGAATTTTCAGAAGTAGTTTTGTATGCCTAAAGTTGACGTTTTCTGTCAACCTGCTGTGAAATACAAGCTGACAGGTGACATAACCTAAATTTTGACACTAGTTACAATATCTTTTATTTGTCACCAGAAACCAAAGTAACCAAATTTATGGCAACCTTTTCACAAATATTCGTTAATTGTAGCCCTGGACTTTTTCTAAGTCAAATTCATCATATATTTCATTCATTTTTGCAAAACAAGCGGGGTTTATTGACAATATATGGATTTATCAACAAGAGTTGGGATTTGAACTTCTAGGAAAATTACGTTTTTCATGTTTGTAACTAGAATTTTCAAGAGTAATTTTGATTGCCTAGGGTTGGTCACCCGTTAAATTTTTGACAAAATAGTTGGGATCTCTTTTGTTTGTTACCAGAAACCACAATAGCGTCCAACCTAACCAAAGTTATAGTAACCTGGGAACGAATATTTCCAAAACCTAGGCTGTAATTTCTTGTTGATATGACTTTAACTATGATAAATTACATGGCACCCCCGCATATAATATTATTTCACAGATTGCGGACTTTAAATTTGAGAAAAACTTACGTTTTTGGTAATTTTATTTCACACTGTTGAATTGAGGTTAACAGGTCACAGCATAGAGGATGGACAGTGGCGTAGTGTATAAAAAAATTTTTTTGGGCAATAAAAACAATCGCATCAACAAAATTTATAAAATTGAGCTAAAAGTTCATCATTTGTTTTGTAGAAAAATAATGTCTCTTTAAATTTAAAAATTACAATTCAGGTTAGGCAACAGACAATACAGGTTTGCATATAAAATCAGAGAAAGTATACGTACAAAATGAATTCACAAGTTATACGATAAAAAATGTAGAGAATTTTATATAAAAAGTAAACTGAATTTGCTCTTTGTCAAACTGTATAATTTTTTAACTGTAACGGCAGTTAGCCAAAGCGCTGTTAGTTTTGAATAACAAAGAGGATTATATAAAAAATATGTTTACTACATGTAACAAGTTAATAGAAATAATTTTAGGATAAAACGTAATTTTAAACTACACAACTTACTCCAACTGTAACAAAAAAATATTTTTTTTTAATAAATTACTTTTTTTGGGGAGATCCAAAGCACATGAATAATAATAACAACACAATAATTAAATTAACTTTATTTTTTTCTATAATAATTTTAAAGTATTAAAAAAAACAATACGTTCTTCGATATTCGATAACCAATTGCAACCTTGTAACGAGAGCACTATGAAAGTTCAAGCTTATGTTGCGTTCTCAGATGAGGAATCAAATTGTTCTTCCTTTTCGTTTTATAAATGCAATGGGCGCAGTAGAAGAATCTGAAATGGCATTTCCTGTCCTTGAACATTTATGGTTTTTCCGTATGTTTATTAATGATATGTTGTTGTAAGTTGTACTTGTATTTTGTTTTGTAATCGCATTGGTCGCATTCAAACATTTTTGGATTTTCAATATGTTTACCAATGACATGTCTTTGTAATACATACTTGATTTTTGCTTTGAAATCGCATTGGTAGCATTCGAACATTTCTGGATTTTCAGTATGTTTACTAATGACATGTTCTTATAAAGTATACTTGTATTTTGTTTTGGTTAACCATGTTTAATAATCACGTGTGTGTCCAACATTCCTTTAAAGGCCGTCTTAAACCGGCATCGGTCACATTGAAAGTAATCAACATTAGGCATCAACAATGTGTGATGCTTTGCTACTATATGTCTACTCAATTTACCATCATTGACTTGACATTTATAATCGCATTAATCACAATTCAACAACTGGAGTTTGTCATTCCTTTTTACCTTGTAATCACACAATTTGGTAAAATAAACAAGATGCCTCGAAATCAACTATTTCGAAAACGACTTGAAATCACATTTTGGACACTTGTAGGGCTGGTAGATTGTGGATTTAACATGTTGTGATGTGTGTCCTTTAGCGATGTGATGTTTCAATTGTGACAACAATTGTGTCTCAAATGTATTACATTTGTGACACTTGTAAGACTCAAGGTCAACGCTTGAGCAATTGAATAATCTTTTTTCCCCGTCTATGTGAATTGTCACGTGACTTCTCATCGTGGATAAGAGTGTTGTCTTGAATGGGCATTTCTCGCATTTGAGATACAGTTCCATTCCGAAAAATCTAGAAAAAAAAGTCATAGTAATTAAAAGATTTGTGAAAAACACAAACATGAGACATATCAACTACAAAGAAACATAAAGTACAAAAAAGTGCGATAATCATAAAGCAAGTCATTTAAAAAAATCTACTTTTTGCAGTTATGCGGACCTAAAGTTGTTACTTTAGTTCCTGTTCCCTAGGGAACAAATATAAACTAAACTACCTAGAGAATTTATTGACAGATTCAAGGTCCATTTCTGAATATTGACGGACACGGAATTTTGGACATCAAATTTATGTCAATTCAAAAAATGTCAATGTCAGGCTTTGAAACTAAAATTTGACAGTTTTAGTTGAAATTTATTTTTAGCGTCGATTTTCCGAAACAATGCGTGTTTTTATATAAATTCAATAAATTATTTGTTTGATTTGAATGATTTGTTGTCATTTTTTTCTCTAGCTATGACAAAAACCGAAAGTGAGGTTAGTTACCTAAGACCCGTTTTACATTTTTATGTCAGTACCTAGTCAATTCCGAAATTTCGTGTCCACCAGTGTATAATTTCACAGATTTTAGATATTAAATTTGTGGAAAACTTACGTTTTTGGTAATTTTATTACACACCGATCAATTGAGGTTAACAGAACACAACATGGAGTGGCGTAGTTAGCCCTGAGTGGGCCCTCTTTCAATTTTTTTGGGCAAGGAGGCCTTTTTTACAAAATCGTACACATTGAAATTGAACAAAAAGTTCATAATTTTTTTGTGCAATCTTGTTTTGCAGTTGTCTTTAAATTTAAAATTACAATTCAGATTAGGCAACAAACTATACAGTTTTGCATACAAATTCAAATGATTGATAACAACTGTACAAAATTTTTTACAAGGACTTTTTAACTCTGACCCAGCGAAACAATAAAATTAATGGTTAGATTATTAATTTGACAGTTATATTGTACAGTTGCGGAATTAAAATTTCGGGCAGCATTTTTCTGTAACTTTAAAAATTTTCACTGTAAACTACCTTTTACTGTCATGATGATTCATGACTGACATTTGACAATTAAACTTTTTTTGGTTGTTAAAATTGTTAATTAAACAAATTGTCTGTCTTAGAAAATTTAATAATTGAACTAAGTATCGCTTTGATCTCCCGCTTACCCGTTTTTATGCCACAAATCATGACAATACTGCCAGAAATTTTAATTCCGCACCTGTACAAAATTTTATATAAGGACATTTTTCAACTCTAAGTAGCAAAACAATAAAATTAATGGTTAAATTATTAATTTGACAGTTATTGTATTGTACTTTTAATAATATACATATATAACTTAAAAACCCATGGAAAGTGTTATTTATAAACTAACCAAAATCCGTTTGTAGCTCACAATTTGCTCGAAAATTTTTGACGTTTCTTTTGCTTCTGATTAAAAAAAGTCAAATGTCAAAAATTTCTTGACACCTAAAATTTTTTAGACATTTTTTCGTATTCTTGGCATCTTATCCGCATAAAACACAAGAAGAAAATTTTTCTACTTTCTTTTCTTATTGTTACAACTATCGCAGCTGAAAGGCGTTTTTTTGATTGATTCACACCGTATACGGAATATTTGACATCAAATTATATCATTTCAAAAAATGTCAATGTAAGCCACGCTTTATTGTCATTATGATTAAAATTTGAAAGTTTTAGTTGAAATTTATTTTTGGCGTCGATTTTCCGAAACAATAATACCAACAATGCGTGTTTTTATATGAGTTCAATGAATTATTTGGATTTATCGTTATTTTTTTCCTAGCTATCAGAATAAAAATTACAAAAACCAAAAGTGAGGTTAGTTGCCTAAGGCCCGTTTTACATTTTTATGTCATTAAAATGACAAATTGTTCAAAATTCGTGTCCGCCAGTGTATGAATTAAAAAAAGAAACATCTTGTTACAAAATCACAAAAAGTATACATACAAAATGAATTCAAAAGTTGATTGACAAAAACTGTACAAAATTTAAACAAGGACATTTTTTAACTCTGAATAGACCCAGCAAAACAAAAAAATTAATGGTTAGATTATTAATTTGACAGTTATATTGTACAGTTGCTGAATTAAAATTTCGGGCAGTATTTTTGTGTAAATTTTCACTCTAAACTACTTTTTACTGTCATTATGATTGACATTTGACAACTTAACTTTTTTTTGTTGTTAAAATTGTTAATTAAACAAATTGTCCCAGCAAAACAATAAAATTAATGGTTAAATTATTGATTTGACAGCTATATTGTACTTTTAATAATATAACATAAAAACCCATGGACAGTGTTATAAACTAACCAAAATCCCTTTGTAGCTTAATTTGCTCGAACATTTTTGACGTTTCTCTTGCTTCTGATTAAAAAAAGTCAAATGTCTAAAATTTCTTGACACCTAAAATTTTGTAGACATTTTTTCGTTTTTGACATCAAATTTATGTCATTTCAATAAATATCAGTGTAAGCCACGCTTTATTATCACTATAATTGACGTTTTTGAAAGGAAAATTTGAAAGTTTTAGTTGACATTTATTTTTGGCGTCGATTTTCCGAAACAATAATACCAACAATACGTGTTTTTATATGAGTTCAATAAATTATTTGGATTTATTGTCATTTTTTCCTAGCTATCAGAATAAAAATTACAAAAACCAAAAGTGAGGTTAGTTGCCTAAGGCTCGTTTTACATTTTTATGTCGTTAAAATGACAAATTGTTCAAAATTCGTGTCCGCCAGTGCATGACTTAAAAAAAGAAACATGTTGTTACAAAATCACAAAAAATATACATACAAAATGAATTCAAAAGTTGTGTACAAAATTTTATACAAGGACTTTTTTTAACTCTGAATAGACCCAGCAAAACACAAAAATTAATGGTTAGATTATTAATTTGACAGTTATATTGTACACTTGCGGAATTAAAATTTCGGGCAGTATTTTTTGTAAATTTTCACTCTAAACTACCTTTTACTGTCATCATGACTGACATTTGACAATTAAACTTTTTTGTTGTTGTTAAAATTGTTAATTGAACGAATTGTCTGTCTTAGGAAATTTATTAATTGAACTAAGTGTTGCTTTGATCTCCCGCTTACCCGTTTTTATTCCACAAATCACTATTTCTGAAAGTAAATAAGTCAAAATGACATAAATATGACAAGAGTAAAAAATGAGGTTATTAGACTTTATGACAATACTGCCTGAAATTTTAATTCCGCAACTGTACAGAATTTTAAACAAGAACATTTTTCAACTCTAAATAGTCCCAGCAAAACAATAAAATTAATGGTTAAATTATTGATTTGACAGTTATATTGTACTTTTAATAATATAACACAAAAACCCATGGAAAGTGTTATAAACTAACCAAAGTCCGTTTGTAGCTCAATTTGCTCGAAAATTTTTGACGTTTTTTTGCTTCTGATTAAAAAAAGTCAAATGTCAAAAATTTCTTGACACCTAAAATTTTGTAGACATTTTTTCGTGTTCTTTACATCTTATGCGCAAAAAACACAGGAAGACACATAAGACACGGAATTTTTGACATCAAATTTATATCATTTCAAAAAATGTCAGTGTAAGCCGCGCTTTATTATCACTATGATTGACGTTTGAAACTAAAATTAAAAATTTTTGGCGTCGATTTTCCGAAACAATAATACCAGCAATACTATTTTTATATGAGTTTAATAAATTATTTGGATTTATTGTTATTTTTTCTCTAGATATCAGGATAAAAATTACAAAACCAAAAGTGAGGTTAGTTGCCTAATGCCCGCTTTACATTTTTATGTCATTAAAATGACAAATTGTTCAAAATTCGTGTCCGCCAGTGTATGAATTAAAAAAAAAACATTTTGTTACTTGTTTCGAAATAAATGAGATTTTGGTCCATATTTAGGAGCTGTATTTTAAAGTTGAAAAAATAAGCATTGCTCCATCTGAGAGTTAATTTAATTTCTGTCACTTTTGTATCAAAAAGTTACACTGAAACACTTTAAATAAATTAAAATAAAATGATAACACTATCAGACCTTGCGCAAACCTGTGTTTTTTCACCGACACGTATTGTATTTACATTGAGCTTTCTTATTATGTTGACCTGGAGCTGTTATTTGTAGCAAACCAACAAGAAAAGCAATTAGAAAAATAAGTCGATTTACCTACCCATTACCTCGATAAAAACAAACCTATTGACACGGCGCCTGTGCAAGCAAATAGTTTGGGAGATTGTGATCTTCAAGAAGTTGTGTTATTGGAACTACCTAGGCAAACCTTGGTAGTTTGTGTCCGTCCGCGAAATGTTGTGTTTATGATCACAAAACCTCCAAAATGATCCAGGGCCATGGACCGGTTATGCAAGCATTCCTAGGCACATTATTCACATGGGGCCTTACAGCAGCAGGGGCTGCCCTTGTCATCATCATCAGAGGCTCACAGGTTAGAACATAACCTTAAAAAACAACAACCAAAATACTCATTTCTAGAGAAAACTCCTGGATGCCAGCTTGGGCTTCGCAGCAGGAGTCATGACAGCAGCCTCCTACTGGTCTCTCTTGTCTCCTGCCATCGAAATGGCCGAACAGTCGAAAATTTATGGGGAGAATGGGGAGTATGCTTTCGCACCGGTGGCCTTGGGGTTCCTCCTAGGAGCCCTATTTGTGTACGGGGCTGATGTGCTCATATCAATTCTGGGGGTACACTCGCCCAACATGATGCTTGGTAAACACACAGCCCCCTTTTAATTAATTGATTAATTGGGTGTTGTAGCATTGCATGCTACAAGCACGAGGAAAGACAGACGAGAGGTCTCCAGACCCAACTCGCATATCTCATCGCCTGATTCCACCGCTATTGACGGCTTTTCTGACATAGGGGGCACAGTCCATCAACGCAGAAGGGGTTTGTTTTTTGTTTTGTCGAGTGTTTTAATTTAATCTCGGGCTTTGCAGTAGGTAAATCTGATAAAATCAATGGACAAAATGAAGAAATAGTTCGTACACAGAGTTTTGAAGACGTTTCCAACATTGAAGAAATCCAACATGGGCATTGGAAACGAATCATGCTTTTAGTTATTGCAATCACGGTACATAATGTTCCTGAGGGGCTAGCGGTAGGAGTCGGATTTGGGGCCATTGGCAGCTCCACGTCGGCGACTTTCGAAAGTGCCAGGTAAGAATTATTTGTGTTTTTTTTTATCAAAATCGGCACTAAAGTGGTTCATTATAGCACGATTTTGTGTATTGCGGGTTGCGAACTCTAATAGCAGTGTTGCCAAATTATTGTTTTAATGTAAACAAGTATTTGTTTTTAATTCTACAAATATGTATTTTATTTTGTGTCATGGTTTTCTAGGGTGGTAGAAAACTGGCAACACTGGAGTAACTCAATTTACTCGGCTATCGCCTCGGCAACTTAACACACATTTATGTGAAAAACAAGATTTTAGTGTCGTGATACATAAATAACTATTTGGAGATATTTTCATACACTAAGACTCTGTTTATGGCGAAAAAATATAATAATAATAATAATAAAAGTCTTTATTACAAACAAAAAAAATTGAATTAAATAGAATAAGAAATACAAGAAATAAAACAAAAATAAATAGTTGCTTTAAAAAAGGCTTTAAAAAAAATTGAAAACAGAAAAAGAAAAAGTTGTAAAGCGAAATAAATCAGGATAACTTAAAGGTTAGTAAAAAAATTCAAAGTTTGTTTTTTAGTAGAATTTTGATTTTTAAATAAAATAAAAATATTGTGTAGATAAGTAAATTCTATTGCAAAGTGATTTTCTTACTTTGCCTAATTCAGAGTGGGTTTAAATGCATTCTTGAGGGTGTTTTTTTTGTAATTTTTAATTATAAAATAACAAGTATAATAAATTAATCATTCTAATAAGGAACTTTTTTTTATTTTTGTCAATACCTAACGCAATGTCCCTAATAACATGAAAATAGACAAAACTTTTCATTGTTGCCAGAAATGGTAATTTTTTTGGAATATCTATTTTGGAAAACAAAAATAAAAAATAAACAGATTTAGTGTAACTTAAAAAAAATGTGAAAACAAAGAAAAAGTTTAAAGTAAAATCAATTGAGGCAAGGCAGAAAAGATTTGGTTAGCCAATAATAATTTTTTAAAAGTTTGTTTAAATTTAGTAGTTTAAATTTTTAATTTGGAAATAAAAAACAAATTTTAAAATTTAAATTAAATAAAATAAGATTTACAAGAAATAAAAGAAAATAAACAGATGCTTTAAAAAAGGCTTTAAAAAATTTGAAAAGAGAAAAAAAAAGTAGTAAAGCAAAATAAATCAGGCTAAATTAAAGGCTTGGTTGGTCAAAAATAATTTTTTCCAAGTTTGTTTTTTAGTAGAATTTCGATTTTTAAATAAAATAAAAATAAAAATATTGTGTAGATAAGTAAATTCTATTGCAAAGTGATTTTCTTACTTTGCCCAATTCAGAGTGGGTTAAATGCATTCTTGAGGGTGTTTTTTTTTGTAATTTTTAATTATAAAATAACAAGTATAATAAATTAATCATTCTAATAAGGACCTTTTTTTGGTTTTGTCAATATCTAACGCAATGTCCCTAATAACATGAAAATAGACCAAACTTTTCATTGTTGCCAGAAATGGTAAATTTTTTGGAATATCTATTTTGGAAAACAAAAATAAAAAATAAACAAGATTTAGTGTAACTTTAAAAAAAAAATTGAAAACACAGAAAAAGTGTTAAAGTAAAATCAATTGAGGCAAGGCAAGCCAATAATAATTTTTTAAAAGTTTGTTTAAATTTAGTAGTTTAGATTTTTAATTTGGAAATAAAAAATAAACTTAAAAATTTTGTTTGGAGACATAAGTAATAAGGATAATTCAGAGTGGGTTTAAATGCTATACTTGAGTGTTTTTTTGTAATTCTTAATTATAAAATAAGTTTTAAGGAATATCATTACTTTTATTTTTGTCAATGTCTAACACAATTTTCGTAACAACATGAAGATAGCTCAAACTTCTCATTTTGGAAATCAAAAATGGAACAAAATATCATAATTTTTTATAATGGTCCTCGAGCAAGTAAACATTCTCTTCGTGATTATAGTCCTAATACATGAGTAACTACTATTTCCAAACAAAAAAATCTTAGTTGAAATAATTAATAATGGTCGGGATTTAAAAATTGTCATAAAAACCCCAGAGAGTATATGTTTAATGTTATTTGTGGCTTTTATTGGCAAAATTTTTGTACCTTTAGTAAATAATTATGAAAAAACATACAAAATCATTAGAATTATTAAATAGACATAAATTGTCAAAAAAATTTGGCCCGTGTTACATACGATGTTTTTTAATTTTTTACCAAAAATACTTGTTTGGACGGTTTTAATTGGTCAGAAACTATATGACGACTTGTTACTTGACTAGATTTTGAGTCATTGATGGTTTTTATTCAGAATTCTTTGCAGGATAGCAAAATAATGTCACGAACTGTGAAACAAGCAAAAATGTAAATATATGCTTTGGTCTGCAGTCATCTTTTTTAGTAGACGTGTTCTAATGTTGCGATTCACTTTGTTTTCAAAAAAAAGCTAAACTGGTTTTAATGTCATTAAGCGAAATGACCTTTTCGTAATGATTTTTTTTACATTGTGCATCTAAAACGGTATTAATGTCTCACAACAAAAACATGTGTCTTATTTATTATCATTTAAATGGCTGGGTTTGCAAAACAGATTCATTTTCAGTTTTTTCATTTTTTTAACATTAATATTCACACGTTTGCATCAATAATAACAATAATCGACTGAAGGTTCTTTTTTCATCAAATTTTATTCTGCTTATCACGCAAAACTATTTTTTGATCACTGTTCCCATGACACACATAACAGAGGTTGAGTGTGAATTCTTTTCGTAATTTTCATTCTTTGCTTCCTTTTTTTTATAGACATTTTTCTAGTTTTTCAAGAATTATAGTTTACTGAAATTCAAATAGTTTCCTATTATTTTAGGAGTAATAAAGCGATCAGTAAATAATTCAATTTTGATCAGTATTGAATTAATTTTTGCACAGTAAAAAATTAAAAATGATCAGTATAATATAATATTTTCCACAGTAAAAATAATAAATGCTAAGTAAAGCACGCACAGTATTTTATTGTAATTTGTTCAAAAATCCACAGTAAAAATTATAAACGCTCAGTAACTTTAATCAAAATTAGTAAAACAACATAAAATTTAAAGAATTTTTAGTCTTGGTTACATAACAATGTATGGCCCCTGCGCAAGAATGGTATTTATTATTGGTACTTATTTTTATATTACTGAATATTTATTATTATTGGAGGGTGGTATATGTATTAGCATGGGCCCCTGCGCAAGAATGATTTTAGCAAGGGCTGGAAACTGTGCAAAAATGGTAATCACTGTAATCACTCTAATCAGCGTACGTCACTCTTTGCACTGCTGGGCTCCTAATACCACAATTTTGTTTTTGAACGCTTTGCGATATTACGATTTTGCTCGGAAACATTTTGTCGTAGTTTAAAATTCGAGCGAAAATTTAATAGTCCGAGATTTTTAGGAAACTATAAAATTCGTGTTGTTTTTAATTTTAATATTAAATTAGAAATTGTACTAAATTCAGAAATTATTATGAAGCATTTGTCAAAATAATATTAAAATTGACAATATGCCATTCCATAAAACATGTCGTCAATCAAATCGTATTTTATAACTACATAAACATTTATTTTGACATTTTGTTAATTTTGACAATTTTCTTTAAAACAATTTTTAGATTTCTGCTCCAATATTAATTAATGTTTGAAAGATTTTTGAAAACATTAAATTATTAAATAATTTTTTGACATCTAGCTAACATACGAAATACCATGCGACATACGTCCTCAATTAGGACGTCTACGTGATAGAAAGACTTTTTGATCGCACTGTTTTATAATTGTTTTCTCTGTATTGTTTGTTTATCTAAATATGCAATTATTATTAAATTAATATTAATATAATTGTTAAAACGTTTTGATTGTTGTAAAACTATATTTCAGTTGTGACAATAATATCTACATTTTTTGCAAATTATGACTTCTTTCTCTTCTGTTTCCCTCACAGCTGCACTCACCTGAACTAATTTTCACCCAGTTACTTTATTTTTATGAACTACTACAAAACAAAATATTTTTTCAAGAATTTATTATTTTTGGACAAAATTAAGTAATCATCAGATTTAGTGCAATTTATTGACATCTTGACAATAAGCAGGAAACTAATTTGCAAGTTTTTGTACAATTGATTTCGTAAAAAATTTGTTTTTTTATTCACAATTCTTAAAAATGTCATTATAACGTCGTTACTCAAATACAAATTACTATTGAAAATTGCCTGTTATAAAAATAAAGATTTTTATCTTACAAAATCGACATGAGCAAAAAAAAATATATTTACTACATTTTTGATAATTATTTTTAATTTTATTTATTACCTTAGAAAGGTACCTACTGATGTAAAAATTGTGTTAAAACCTCAACGATAAAGTAAATATCGGGATTATTTCGCAATTGTGACATTTATTGTCAGTTATTTATGATTAAGGCTCGGATTACATGCACGAAAAAATCGTAAAATATGCGCATATTATGCACGCATTTTCACAAAAATATGCACAAAATTATTAAGAAATATGCTCCAATATATACCAAATATGCATCGATACGCAAAATTTTGAACAATAAAAAGTCAAACGTTTTTTGCTTAAAGTATTTATTTTTTGAAAAAACTAATGGATGATTTATAAAGTTCTATAAAAATGTGATGTTTTATCAAAAGTAAAATTTTTCGAAATATTTGTTATTTTGTTTTTGAGTTTTACAAATTATTAATTATTAATTATCAATTTTTTTTTAAATGGCAACCCACAAAAAAAATTTTTTTTCATGAATATATTAAATTATTTTTTGCATATATCGCAATTTAGACAACAAAAATCGAATAACTCAAAAACAAAACAAAACTTTGTTCTTAAAATAAGATCATTTTTATATTACTTTAATTTATATTAACACTCAGCAGGGTACTAATTTTTTGAGTTTGGCTTACGAATTACCGGTTGTTTTCTCTTTAAAATATTTTGTAATCGGATCATTTTTCATAAACTG